CAGCAGGGACAAACAGGAAAATAATAATTCAATTGATGCAAACTGATCAATTCTGCTGTAAAGTAGCTTTAAAACAACAACAAGTCAAAACAACTACGACGTATAAGCTACTTACCAGCTCATAAGAAATATTTTTCAGATATCTTTCTTTTTTTGTTGTTGTTATTAGGAGAGTTCTGGTGCTGTTAGTGACATTCACACTGATCCATGAATCCATGAATCATGAAAACAGCGATGCGCGTCCAATCAGCAACCTTCCATTGGCATTTTTAATGAAGCCGAAGCACAACTCACGTAATTACCCAAACAATGTTTCTCCGAGAGTAACTTGTAGTTTTGCGCTTCTAATCTATTTTCAGTATATTTTACCTGTATGATGATGTCGCCATATCCATGTCACCACAATTCAAGTAATTTAAAAGTATCCATACAAAACTTGGTTGCATTACCAGAGCAATTCAAGTCTCAAGATTTCAGGGCCAGGAATAACTCAGTTTGAGTTAACAGCTCTCATTTTCCGAGTGGGATCCAAATAGAGCTCAGACATTTCTCTTCTTTAATTATTCTCTGCCATTATGCCGAAGGTCAACAACTGTGGTAAGAGATTTTTTTTTCCTCTGAATGTTTGAAATGGCAAAGATAATTAAATGTCCTCCAAACTTCCATCTTTTAAAAACTTTGTGTGGCCTGGTGGTTATCACATGTGCTCTAAAGCTGTGGTGCTCATGCTGGCAACGCAAGTTCAATCCTGGCACACAATGTGGTTAACATTTTAACGGTTCATTCTCTCTAAAAATCTGATTTATTATAGTGAATCAGTTAATTCAGATAATCAATGTAAATTTCGGAAAAAAAATCAAGTCTATGCATTTTTTATAGTGAACTATTAAGTTAAATATTAAACTAAATTTAGTTAATTAAACTAAGCTATGTAAATTATTTTTAACCATTTTTGTTCTTTTTGCTTACGTTTTATTATTTATTTTTTTTAATTGTGAGCTTTGCCTCCAAATGCTGTGAAAATACAATTATCATTACAAATCCTACTATTGTGTTACTATATCCTAAATTTTCTGAATATTATACAGTTTCCTAGCTGGTTTATGAAAATGTGAACAATGAGCAACATAATAAGACTTCAGAATGGTATAATGCTTTCGTTAATTATTTGTATATGACACGTACATCATTCATATATTTCACCATTAGTCAAGTCACATTTCTACGGCTGTATGTTTTAAAAGTTTTCAGTGAATTTCAGTTGTTAACTAAATACAATTAGGCATATAAGCTCTCATTTCACCTCATCTAGATAACAACTTTTGTATAATGTGACACATCTTTTTCCTTTTACAACCATTGTCAAAATTCATATTGAAAAGTCAAATGCGAGTAAAAAATAACATTAGCAAATAAATACAAAGGATTGCAGGAGGAGAGCGAATCAGCAGGCTTCTGCAACCGTTTAGTCATTTTGCTCAATAGTTCTGCATTAGATTATGCAGAATTGAGTAATTTCAGGATAATTTTAGGTAACATAAATTATGTTATGCTTTACATAAGATTGTCACATATGGATGCCGAATTACCAGGCTTGCCATGACACTCTCCCCGTTGAAGGAAAATTTGCCTCCCACTATGATGTTGTACTTAAGCATTGCTGTGCTGTTCCTCATCTCTGTGTATGTTTTATTGACGACAGATTGGAGCCAATTCAGCTCTGCAAATGAGTCAATAAAGTAATTACAGAGAATTAAATCTCTCCTCAGTGAGAAGGAGAGCAGGGAATATGAAGGTATGAAGAGATCTCAAATCCCCTTGCTGTTTTCTCAGCTGTCAATACACCTACGGCTAATATCCACCCAGAAGAATGATGACTAGGCTACAAAAAGACGCCTATTTCCTCACCACTTGGGCTGTGGCATTATGATTTGTGTGACACCCATCTGCTGATCATTCTTTCGAATGGAGTCGGCTTGTACCTGTCATAAACATGATTTAACGGGACATAACACTGACGATGACTCTCCGACGACCCCGTTGTGTAACATCAGGAATGCAATCGTGGAAACTCTGTGTGGGAGATCCTACCTAATTAAAATAATGTGGCGTTCAATAGTGGTTTGAGATTTAAAGGAACAGAGTGTTGATTTTTCACCACTATCAGTGAACAACAACTTAACTTAAATTCTGTCGTCATTTACTCACCTCATTAAAAACATGTATGACTTTCTTTTGTCGTAAAAAAAAAACATAATGGGCCTCATTCATGAAACATTCGTAAATATAGGAGTCAATTCTGAGTAATTTGCGCGTAAAACGAACCTTCCCGAAAACTCTCCTCCGAATTCACAAACACTTCGTACACATCAGATTTGATAGTTAAACATGTGTATGTTAATGAATTCCAATCATTCGTAAATAGGGCGCTTGTGCACGCTCATTCACAATTAGCATAATCCCCGCCTATGAATTACAGCTACGTAAATTGCGTGTCCAGGAACGCAGTGGAATATTCTGGTCTACTTTCTCAGGTTTGGCTCCAAAGCTAAACAGTTTATCAACTCTCAGCTACAAGAAAGAAAAGCAAAACTCTCAGCTACAAGAAAAAGAAAAAATCGGAGCAAACTAACTTGTAAAATATTATAATGGCAGTGCATCAAATTCAGTGTCATCAGTTTGCCAAAATGAACACAGAAGAACGTAACCATTTACACATGGTAGGGAGCAGGAGTAAATTTCTTTCCTACCAACTAACATTTTGAAAATACGAACATTTTCATGAATTCGAAAGTTTACGTCAGAACGGCTTTACGAACGATTTACACAAAAATTCGTTCTGCTCGTGTTTCATGAATGAGGCCCATTGAACGTAAAATGAAGTGCAAAAAATACTGGACCCCAATGACTTTTACTATATTGAGATTTTTCACAATATTTCAATCATTTTCTCATGCAAAGCAATCATATGGTTTTATAAGACTCAGAATATACACTTAAAAAGGAAGGTTCTAAAAGCAGGCATCTATGGTTCCAATTCCATTAAGAACCTTTACCACCCACGGAAACTTTCCATTGCAAAAAAGGTTCTCTATGGTGGAAGAAGCTTCATCAGATGCCAAAAAATGGAACCCAAAATAGTTCTTTCTATAGGCATTGCTGCAAAGCTCCTTTTTGGAACCTGTGCAGTGTGTATGCATTTTTTTTTTTTTTACCGTCCATGGGACCTCTCCATTACACAAAAGGTTCTTTATGGAGGAAAAAGGTTCTTCAGCTGATTAAAATGTCCTTTAAACTAAGAAAAAACTGATATTTTACTTTCTTTCTTTAAGGTTCTTTGGGGAACCCAAAATGGTTCTTACACTCCATGGATCCATCAGGAACACAAAAGGTTCTTTATAGTGAAAAAAAAATTTTTTTTTAGATTAAAATATTCCTTACAAACAATTATGGTTCTTTATTGGCATTGATGGTTCCATGAAGAACCTTTAACATTCATGGAAACTTTCCATTCCACAAAAGGTTCTTTCTAGTTGAAAAAAGGTTCTTTAGATTCTTAAAGTGTTCTTCAGAAATGGAAAAAAAAGGTTCTTTTAAGAACTGTTCTCTTGAAAGGTTATTTTATAAAATCGCTGCAAAAACCCATTTTTCGAACCTTTATTTTTAAGAGTGGTTTATTGGGGAGCCCAAATGTCTCTTCTATGGCATTTCTGCAAAAGCTCCTTTTTGGAAATTTAATTTTTAAGAGTGTACAGTGCTTTTTTGGTGTTTTTGTTGCCTTTACCATCAATTTCACAAAACGTTCTTTTATAGTGGAAAAGGTTCTTTGAAATATTAAAATGTTCTTCAAAATAAGAAAAAAAAATGTTATTTTAAAAACCGTTTACTGAATGGTTCTTTATGGAACCCAAAATGGTTATTGCTCATTTTTGGAACCTTTCATTTTAAGTGCTTTTTTGGTGTTTTTTTGGAACTTGACAACTCACTTCACAGTCGTATGGTGAGTGGGCTTGATTTTTGGGTGAGCTAGTCCTTTAAAGTCATACACACAAGGTAGCAGACTTTCACGCTTTCTTTGTGAGCCCTAGACGTACTTTCTATGAAGTCGGCGTCAGACTTTTATCAGGCTCCTCTGATCCGATCGTGGCTTCAGCCAGCCTTCAAAGACCTCTTAGAGACTATGATTACTCGGACAGTCTTTAGTGTGAAAAAGCAAATGCAGCGCACACAAAAGGGTCAGCTATTTTAGGGCACATTTTCTTGAAAGGCCGCTCCCGAGAGCACGGCCGAGACTTTTCAAACCCCGGCACCTCTTTTGAGCCAATGACAAATATCTAGTGCATCTGGGCACACTCGACTGCTCTCAGAAGCCCAAACGACAGAAGCTGCAACTTCACATCAAGGCTGCATCAGTCACCTCACGTCAAACTTGAAGGGCACGATTGGACACAAGCGACAAGCCGAAAAACACATTAGCATAATGTTTACATAAATGAATACGTAAACACAGTGGCAAGATAATCAGCATGGCACATTTAAATGCTGCAGCCAGCCGTACTTCAGCTGCCTGAGAAGCAGCGATAGGAGAGGAAAGACATGTCAAACACGCACCCCGGTCTGATTCCGACTCCTGATGTGGCGCGTTGACGTCTTATTTGAACAAGATAATGACATGGGATTAAGCCGCAGCGTACAATCTGACTTTTAGTCTATAGACCATTTCAACGGCGATTCGTTCACGTAAGTGACATCTTTGGTCCTTGGATGTTTCCGGTTAGTTGACGCGCACATTCAAAACATTGGCGGGAGACGGTTTATACACAGTGATATTGCGACAGTTTAATTATTCTTGCTATTAAAAATTTCAAAATTAAAACTAGGACCATGTTGTTCGGTGGTTGGATGCTCTCTCAGGCCAGGGACTAACTTGCTGTCGGAAATTAAAGTGTTTAGATTTCCGAAAAACAAAACACAACGTGACGCATGGATTGCTGCAGTGAAGAGAGAAGGCTGGATACTGACTAGCAACTCGAGGATATGTAGCACACATTTTATATCTGGTAAGTAAACTATGTTTTTGTTAGTGAATTATTATTACTGGATTAATTTGTATTCCTATATGTTCACTAGTTAAGTATGTTGAATCTAAATTTGAGCTAGCATTGTGGCTCCGTCATTGTTTTCATATGTAGATAGCTAGCGTTTTGATACGTTTGATTGTAAAAAGCAAGGGTTTATTTCCGTTTTCATTTCTAAATATTCTGTGGGCTGTAATTAGGAAAGTAGCAGTTTACATCAGTTGTCTAGCTATCTATTCAGCTGACAGATGCAATGCGTAACACTTTATAAAAACAAAACAATTGTGTAACATTAGCTAACTGCATTATTTCACAAAAGAGAATGGTAAACAACATGTTTTCCTTCATTTATTAAGCGTTGTTAATGTTAATTCCATCATGCAGTAATGTAACAATAACAGTATTATTTTTTACATTTAACCTAACTAACGTGGATGAGTTAAATAATATTGAAGAAATATTCTTAAATTAAAAAAAAATATAGGCCTATGTTTTTAATTACTAGAACGTTTTCATGTTTAAACTCGATTTTGCCATATGCTGGAATGTTTTTAGTCCACAAACAAGCAATACGGTTCTTTATTAACTTTAGTAAATTTTTATATAAATTAACGTCAATAAATGCTGTAAAATGTTAATTGTTTGTTCATGATACTTTAAATATTTACTAATTTAAGACCCTTTTAAAAGTGTTACAGGGTGGTTGCAGTGGTCATACTGGTATCTAGTTAGTTTATTTGTAGATATCAATTGAATATTTACAAATTGAGACCACTCAACTGCTAGTATGAAATTAAGTGTTAATACAATTAAATGTTTGTTTTTTTCATCTTGCTCTTGGCATTTGCTCATGTTCATAATCTACACTGCATAAAATGCTTTTCTTACTTGGTATTTTTGCCTTGTTTCTAGTCCAAATATCTAAAAATTCCTAAATCAAGAAGCATTTACTAGACAAGTAAAAAGTACTGTCTTGTCTAAAAATTTTTTTTAAAAAAGTCAAAATTGAGTTTTTGCTTAAAACAAACAAAATTATCTACTAATAATAGAAAAATAACCTTGTTTTCGGGGAAAAGATTATTTTTCTTACCCTATTGGCAGATTATTTTGTTTGTCTTTGACTTAATTTTGACTTTTTTTTTCAGAAAACAAGACAATACTTTTTACTTGTTAAGTAAATGCTTCTTGATTTAATATTTTTTTTTTAGATATTTGGACTAGAAGAAAGACAAAAACACTAAATAAGAAAAACTTTTTTGCAATGTATCTTCAACCAGTGATGTGTGAAAGGAAAGCTATAGCTTATCCCAATCATGTTTTTCTACTTTTGTCTTTAGGCAAGCCATCAGATGACCCTCTAAGTCCAGACTACATTCCATCAAAGCTTCCATACAGACCTGACCCCTCCAGAAAAATGGACCGATATCAGAGGTCTCTGAGACGAGCATCAGAGGTATATGAGATGAACACTGCGGAGGAAGTAGAGGACATGGACACAGATGTAACAGAAGTTAAGTCTTACAGTGATATGTGTGTTGGAACAGATGTCACTATGAGGGATATTGAAGACATGGAGAAACTGAACACATCTTACAAAGACCAAGTGAGAAGCCTAGAGTCAAAGGTTCAAACACTCACCTGTGAGAGGAAACAACTGAAATCCGATGTGGATTTAAAGGATGATCAAATCATTCACTTCTACACTGGCCTTCGCTCATCCAAAGTCTTCTTCGCACTTCTGACATATCTCACCACTGCTTGGAGTCCGAGAACACTGAGCCCTCCAACAGCTCTCCAGTTTTACTTAGTCTTAATGAAACTGAGACTTGGCCTCACTCATAAAGATCTTGCCTTCAGGTTTCATTGCAGTTGTGCAACAATCTCTACAATATTTCATGACTGGTTGAACATCATGGCACAGCGTTTCACCTCTCTAATTCATTGGCCTTCAAGGGAAGAAATTAAAAAGAATCTTCCTACCCTGTTCAGAAGCCCCCCTTTCAATGCAGTGAGGTGTATCATAGACTGCAGCGAGATATTCATTGATCGACCAACATCACTCAGTGCAAGAGCAATGACCTACTCCAACTATAAGTCCCACAACACCATCAAATTCCTGGTTGGCATCAGTCCAGTAGTTTATCTTGTGACCGTAAACTATGATTCTCATCAAACAAATGTGTAAGGGGCTTTGGCACATTTGTTGCATTTACAGTGCTGTCAGTACAAAGTGTTTCACTCTGAACCACTGCTTGTGATTCCTTATGAGTTACGATATGCCTTTACCGCTTCTCTTGCGTAGACGCACTCGGTCTCAACCAGATAATGATACACGTCTGGATACGTTATTTCAGGTAAACGTTTAACGTTTTGAGTGAAAAGTTGTCGCCTCAATGTCTGATTTAAGGGATCCGGTAATTCAACGTTATCGTGTATTCTTAGTTTTTGTAAATATCTTAACTGTTCTGTTTTAGTTAGACTTAAAAAGTATGTGCTAGTCATTTTGTTTTGACAGGTCTGGGATTTAAAAATGGCGCCACCAGAAATGCTTTAGGACCAGACATGCGCAGTAACGTCGCAACGCGTTTGTTATTGTTTACTTCCTTGAAATGGTCTATAGTGAGCGACGCGAAACTACAGCTCCAGATCAGAAAGTATCAACGCTAATGCGATGTACAACAATGCATTATTCTGCTCCTTTTGTAGTCTAAATAAACACGACTCTGAGATTTTAATCACAGCCCATGTGCGTTCCATTCAAGAACTCAAAGGAGATGGAATTTCAAAGTCTGGATCAAAGAAAAAACTAATTTTTTGCTTTGATTCAGCAGGGAGCGGTCGCTTTAGACTGGCGGTTGAGTCATAGCTACAAAGTTATGCATAAACGAAAAAGCCTGAGGTGCTTCAACAATTTGTATGCTTTCGGCCTTGATTGGTCAGATCAGTGATTGGCAAACGTGCACGCTGGAGACTTCTTTTGCTAGATGTTATATTCAGACGTAATTAAGGCACAAGCAGTGTCTCATATTTCACATACTGCAATCTCAAGCAATCTCCTTCCTCTATAAAGCTTGTTGCACATTGTATAATGTATGAAAAGGTTGCAATTACAAGGAAATAATTGGATTTCTAATTATATTTACAAAGGAAACACTGACACCTTTTTATAAACAGTGCGTCTGTGGTTCTCAATTCGCAGCGGTGCTTTCAGCGGGTTTCAGTTGTGAAATCAAGCACGACGCTAAGTTTTTAGTGACAAGCAATTTGTCGTCTACACATACTACATGTGTAACTGCTGCGAGACGCGACAAACAAGGCCAATTAGAAGTTGTGAATTTTGGACCAATGAGATTCACAGTGGGCAGGGCACAATTATTTACAATTTGTGTATGTATGTAACAATTATACACAACAATTCTACAATTTTAAATAATATAAAGAGTTCATTTGCAAAAACCGATAAACGCCACTTAAAAAAAAAACGTGATTTCTGAAAAAATGGAGTTATCGGTTTTTGCAAATGAACTCTTCATATATAACAATTATATACAAACACTTATTTTAGAATAATTGATAATATTACAGTTTTTGTTAAGATTTTGAATGTTTTTATTTTTATACAGCATATAGTTTTTTATGTTTACAAAGTTTTATATATTTTCTGCTTTCATTTTCATTTTAGTTAAAGTTTTAGTAATTTTGTTGCGTATATTAGTCATTTTTATTAGCTTTTTTGTTTTTAGTTTTTATTCATTTCATTTTTAATTTCAGTTTTAGTTATTTAGTTATATACACCAAGAGAAACTAAAATGAGAAATGCTGCCTTGACAACTAACTAAACTAAAATAAGTTGAAGGTTTTTATGTATTTTACTTTATTTCAGTTTTAACATTAATAAAATTTGACTTTTTATGGTTTTAGCTTTAGTTAACTGTAATATAACTGGTTAAAAGTATTTAATAAAATATTTTGATGAAGCCTTCACTATTTTTTTTTATGACCATTAGGTTTAAGCAGATGTATTTACGGTGTTATTTTATTATTTTGTATCATTTTCTCTAAAATATTTTAGTTATATCTTTAATTTCTATGATCGTATTTTGCTATATTATATTTTACTTTTATTTTTTATTTTTTTAATTCAAAATTGTACAGCACTTTGGTGAACTCTGTTTTTTCAGTGTTTTATAAATACATTTTGGTTTGATTTTTAATTCAAAACAAATTTTTTTTTATTAATGTATTAAATTTTAACTGAATTAAATACATCTATTTAAAAAAATCTAATTTAATAATTAAATAATAATTTTCTATTTTTTTCTATCACACAAAGCCTTTATGTATTCTTAATCAAATTACTATTAATTATTTTCTTAATTTCTTCCGGCCTTATAATAGACAAGATGCAGCCATACACACATGCACCATTGTACCTGAACGCAGACATACAGTCTACCACAATAGTTCCTCTACACAGGCAACGAGAATGTTCCACACAAAGCAGATTATTTCCTTTGGTGCCATGCAACAACATATGCTACCATCCAGTCCAAATTGAGCCTTGGTATACAGTAACCAATTTCATCTCCGCTAAACTTGATTGTTGGAGCCTGCTAATATACAGGCAGCACAGTTATTACAGTATGAGATAAAAGCTCACAGCAAGATGGTGAAGAAAAGAGGGAGGAAGGCCTGGGATTCTGTGTCAAAAGCTTCTCAGACCAAGGAGGATGAAGTCAGGTCGGCGCTCCACATGGCGTCACGTGGTGTTAAGACACGCAAATTGTATATATGGAGGCAGAACGGGAAAATGCAACAAGCAATCATTACAGTAAATTGCCTCGGCCATTCTTTCTATTCAGAGGCATTTTTGTCAAGCAGAGCAGAACCGGAGAGGGAGCATTTACCGCATGTAGCTGTGAGAGTAGAAGATTTGAACATATGCTCATGGGCCAAATTGGCAAGATATACATTTTGCGTGACACACAGGAACTATTCAAGGACATTTTTTATAAGCCGCCTCTTGTATAACAAAAAGTACTTGTGATTTACCAGAGCTTCAATGGCCATGACCAGCTCAGCACACAATGCTTAGAAATGTGTAAAGGGGAATGTGTTATAAAATAAACCTTGATTATATGGCTACTTACAAAATAAATAATTCCTTGAACATGAAATATTATACAAATATCTGAATATTAATATTAATCTGATGTGGAATTATTTTATAACCATACCCGTATATTATTAAAGCATCCACTAAGAAAAAAATAATACACAACATAGGGTTAACTAAAACAAAAAATAAAATAAAATTTTATTGAAATAAAATGAAATAAAATGTATAAAACCTTATTTTATTGAAGCTTTCCAAGGCAATATTTCTCATTTTAATTCATTAAATTTTTTATAAAATAAAAATTAATAATTTATTTTAAATTAATTTATTTTAAAAAAGTATAATTTAAATGACAAAAACATTTAAAATTTAACAAAATATGAAAATAAATTCAAAATATTAATATAAACCATAATAACACATTATTGATGCTAAAATAACAGTTACTTTTATACACTGTATATCTAATTATAATATTAAAATAATCTCAAAATCTTGCTATTTAACAAAAGAATTTGTGCAAAAAAAAATGGATGCTATTTTTAACTCGCATGTTTTTCAAGGCTATCTTTTTGCTTTTTTGTATTTGTACCTTTATGCAAAGATGCTCATGCTTTGATAAAGGATTATATTTATTCATTTAATATGGCACCTTTGGCAGATAATTGTACCGGTGCATGAAAACTGTTGCAAATGGCAAAGCTGTGGACATGGTAATTGGTATAATGACTCATGGGTTTCATTACACAGTTTAGATGAAATACCTTAGTGTAATTATAGTGTAAATGAATCCATAAAATAAATACAAAACAGTTGCATTTGGCCTTTGAGTTTCAAACTGTACCTTCGTAACTCCAGCCAAAGAAAAACCCAGGCACTCGACAGGATGACCGAAAACCAGAAACCCATCTCCTCCAATCACACGCCAACAAAACAAATCTGTAAAAATAAGACGAAAAGTACATATGTAAAGACACACACACACACACACACACACACACACATGCACTTAAGAAGGTCTAGGACGTTACAATGGCTCCTCTTGATTTTTTTCTCTTTTTTACCTTCACAGTCCATTGAAGCACTCCCTTTGAATAAGTTCGAGTTTTGAGAGGGAACCTTAGAAACACTTCAAAGTGAAGCCCAGGGAGTGTTTCTATACCGCATGGAAAGAGCTCTCTCGGGTTCATGGCCATTACGACACGCTTTAGCCTCCTCCACTACTCCCTATCTCTCTCTCAAAGCCAATAGCGCTTGCATTTCAAGGCAGGTTGCAATCTCTTTAAATTACCAACCACACTGGAACAAATAATAGTGATTTACTTAATTAAAAACTAAACATTTTCCCATCTAAATAAACAAAAGAAATTGAAAGCGCTGGCTCCTTGAGGCATCTCCCTCGGTCCATTAGTTGCAGTCCAATGGGCTTTGATAGGAATTAACTCACACTCAATTATACTCTGTGCCCGCAAACAGTCCCAGACGCCAAACCGTGAATGCGCCGACTGCAATCTCCTTGAATGGATGGAGGGCTTTCGGTCGGAGCGTATGCACGCTGTATTTAAACATATCCCTTCATTTTCTCTGTTTGTCTTCTTTTTCATCACACGCGACCAGAGAGGTTTTCAGCCTTTCATCAGTACTGGGGCACAAGCTCCCAGTTATTTTGCATGGGGGCACTTTTATGTTTAATACTTTGGGACTTTGGGAAAAACATTTTTACATATTCTTGAGTACTGTTAATGGGCCTTTTCTAGGTACATTTTTGTAAGATTGCATTGTGTCATCTCAAGCTCAACTGATTATTTAAATTTATGTCGGAATATATTTATGCCTTCAGGAAGGTAGCTTAGTTTTGTGGTTTAAAGGGGTCATATGATGCTGCTAAAAAGAACATTATTTTGTGTATTTGGTGTAATGAAATGTGTTTATGCGGTTTAAAGTAAAAAAAAACACATTATTTTCCACATACTGTACATTATTGTTTCTCCTGTATGCCCCGCCTTCTGAAACGCGTCGATTTTTACAAAACTAATCGGTCTGAAAAGCGAGGTGTGCTCTGATTA